AGCATACTGTTGGCTAATATCCAGCTTCTCATTCACTGTAATCCCCAGGTCCTTTTCTGCAGAACTGTCCCCAGCCTGTAACAATGCTTGGGATTCTTCCATCCCAAGTGCAGGACTCTACACGTGATCTTGTTGAACCTCATCAGATTTCTTTTGGCCCAATCCTCTAATCTGTCTAGGTCACTGTGGACCCTATCCCTGACCTCCAGTGTATCTACTTCTCCCCCTAGCTTAGTGTCATTCTCAAACTTGCTGAGGATATAGTCCATCCCCCTCATCCAGGTCATTAATAAAGATGTTGAACAAAACCGGTCCTAGAACCGATCCTTGGGGCACTCTGCTAGAAACCAACTGCCAACCTGACATCGAGCCGTTGATCACTACCTGTTGGGCTCAACATTCTAGCCCGCTTTCTATCCATTTTACAGTCCATTTATCCAATCCATACTTCCTTAACTTGCTGGCAAGAATATTGTGGGAGACTGTATCAAAAGCTTTGCTAAAGTGAGTTGACTTGCTCACAAGAAGTACAAATGGTCCTTCATACAGTGGAGCCCAGAGCACCCATAAGACTTAACTACCATCCTCCTTACCTACCATCCTCGATTATCTTCTGCACCTTAAACAAGCGGGCCTTGCAATAAGCTTCATTAAAGTTCACCTTGCTGCTATTACTACCTTTTACTCTAAAGGTATGTCTACACTACAGCGTTATTTCGAAATATCTGTTTAAAGGGACCCCCCCCCCCCCCGAAAGACGGGACACCAAAGCATTCTCTGCGTGCTCTTGTTGCCCTCACTTGGGACACCACAGCACTCTGCAGCATGGAGCCAGAGTTGCCCCTGGCCACTCTGGTGCTTCTCGTGGATGCGTTGCTGAGAGCCTGGCTGCATTTTCTGCAGGCTGCCATCCAGGAGGTCCATCGGGGGGCTGTCAGTATCCAGGAGGCCCTGGGGGAGAGCTTCCATCCTGAGGAGCACTAAGAGCCTTCCTGGTCTGCCTCACTGAGGGCTTGTGCCTCATTCCTCCCTCACGTTCTTTCACTTACCCCTCTGTAACCTCCCTTCCTGATGTCAAATAAAATACATGTGTTTTCATGAACACAAACTTTCTTTATTTAACAAAACTGGGCGGGGGGGAGGATAAAACTGTGGTGAGACTGGGGAAAGGAGGCGGGAGAGAGGAGAAGAGAGGCTGGGAGAAGGGAGAGGGAAACCTGGGAGGAGGGAGCTGGAAGGGGGAAACAAGGGGAAGAAGGGGCAGGGGAAGCTCAGGGCTTAGGGTTAGGGTGTCTCGCCAGACCAACCTGATTTTCATGCAAACCTGCTCCTGGGTTCGCATGTGGCCTTTGGTCGTGTCGAAGCAAAAACACGCTCCTCTCTGTTTAGGCGGCTAACAACTGATTTGCTTTATTGATCAGTAAAGCAAAGTGAGCCAAACGTGGTCCCAGCAAAGTCGGGCCCAGTAAAGCTGCTAATACAATCAATCCTAGAATATTTATACCCTAAGCCAAACAGTCTGATGTCAGGGCATCCAATTACAGAAACCCTCAATTAAATTTGGAAAAACAAAGCCTTATCAACAAGATGGCGGACAGGTGCGAGGGAGTACATCTCCTGTCCCAACCAGCCCAATTATCACATACCAATAGCCAAGCCTGTAGGCCTCTTCTCACGGGGTGACAGAAAGTTCACTCTGGTCTACGTGCTTGAGAGAAAAGCTGAAATGGTTTCTGATATACAAGATGGCTTCTAGCTAAACATAAAATAGCTTCTACAGTCGCCAGGCTGGCAGCTATCTTGCCATAGATGGCTGCATTCCTCCGTCTAGTGCGGAGATCATGGACGTTGGAGGCATCCCCCCAAACCTGAATAAGGTCCACGATCTCCACCCTGGACCAGGAAGTTGCATGCCTTCTCCGGGCCCTGGCAGGCTCCAGGGAGCTGGCAGACTGCTCGTGGGGAGTGGTGGAGGGCTGACTGCCAGTTGCTTGCTGGCTCATGTTTTGAGGCCATTGGGTCAGGGGCAGCGACTGCTGGCTTTGGGCTGGCAGGCTTGGAGCTGACACAGACACTGTGGCTAGAGTCAACTCCTTTAAGGGCTCCGGGGAGAAGGGAGGGAGAGGAGTGTTCTTGGTTGAGGCCGGAGTGGCCATCAGGGCACCCTGGGAAGGCTGGAGGCCCCCTATTTCAATATAAGTTTCTACACAGCACTTATTTCGAATTAGCTATTTCGAATTTGGCATTATTTCATTATGGAATGAGGTTTACCAAATTCAAAATAAGCCCTCTGCTATTTCGAATTAATGTCGAAATAGCGGTTTGGCTGTGTAGATGCTAGTAAAGTTATTTCGAAATAATAGCTGTTATTTCGAAACAGCTTTGCTATGTAGATATACTCTAAGATAGACAACTCATCCATATTTGCTCCTCCACTCACCACGAGGTTTTTAAAGGGTCTGCACTCTTTAACCAGACATCAGTCCATCAATACAACCGTGGGACCAGCTGTTAGTACTGAATGCTCTAACTCATCCGCCTTTCAAATCAATGGCCATCACCTCATTATTATACTTATCCATGAAAACTGTTTTCCTCGTAGCTATTATGTCGGCAAGACGGGTAGGAAGGTTGCAGCCCTAATGGCTGATCCCCCATACACCACATTTTTAAAAAACAAGGTCACTTTACGTACCCATCCCAAATTCCTCCCTCTTCCACCTCAATCAGACAATACACTTTCCCACCTTCTTCCCCAAACCACTCGCCAATTCTTTCAAGATGAAAATGCCCACCCTTGACCTGCGCAGAGCACTCTCTTTTTACCTGCAGTGAACTATTCCTTTTCAGGCATTTCCCAGACTATTTGTCTCAATAGCAAACCACGGTAAGGGCCAGGCCGTCTCATCACAGAGACTCTCCCACTGGATCTCGGATTGTATCAAGCTTTCTTATGCACAGTCAGATAGCCATGGATCTGGATCTCAATAGCATTCCTCCGTGGAGTACCCATAAGACACATTTGCACAGCTGCTACATGGTCCTCCAACCACACATTTGCAAAGCAGTACAGGGACCTTTTTCCAGCCTGAAACTAGCTAAGGCGGTTCTTTCCACCGCTTTTCTGCCAGATCCGAAGTCCCTACCTCCCTAAAGGGGAATTAGATTTTTAGTCACCTAGGGTATGTCTAGACTGCACCCTCTGCCGGCAGAGGGATGCAGATTAGGCTGGGCCAAATTGCTAATGAAGCGGGGATTTAAATATCCCGCGCTTCATTAGCATAAAAATGGCCGCTGCTTTTTTCCGGCACGGAGCTCTGTAGGACTAAGGGCATGTCTAGACTGCACCCCTCTGCTGGCAGAGGGATGCAGATTAGGCTGGGCGAAATTGCTAATGAAGCGGGGATTTAAATATCCCGTGCTTCATTAGCATAAAAATGGCCGCTGCTTGTTTCCGGCACGGAGCTTTGAAAGAGAAAAGCATCAGTCTAGGCTGATCTATCACTAAAGAAAGCCTTTTCCGATAGATCCATTATGCCTCGTAAAACGAGGTATACAGGATCTATCGGAAAAGGCTTTCTTTAGTGATAGATCAGCCTAGACTGATGCTTTTCTCTTTCAAAGCTCCGTGCCGGAAACAAGCAGCGGCCATTTTTATGCTAATGAAGCACGGGATATTTAAATCCCCGCTTCATTAGCAATTTCGCCCAGCCTAATCTGCATCCCTCTGCCAGCAGAGGGGTGCAGTCTAGACATGCCCTTAATGTGGAACATTCACAGGGACGTCTCTCTCTCGAAGAGGAGGTTACTCACCTTGATAGTAACTGACATTCTTCGAGATGAGTGTCCCTGTGGGTGCTCCACAACCCTCCCTTCTTCCCCTCTACTTTGCGATTCTGGCCTTCTCAAGCCATGGTTCTGGGGTAGAGAAGGAACTGAGGAGCAGGCGGTGGGGGGAGCTCATGTATCGTGATGCCTGCAACCTAACAGCATGCAGCTGCTGGTGCACAGCCCGAGGGACACTGCTATCAAATCTCCTCTCTGAGGCTCAGTGGCGGTGCACCTACCTAATGTAGAGCACCCACAGGGACACTCATCTCAAAGAACGTTAGTTACTAGCGAGGTGAGTAACCTCCTCTTGTGAAGAGGAATAAGCTTATTTTGAAATAGTTATTTCAGGAGTTATTATTTTGAAATATCTTATTTTGAAATAACCTGGTAATGTCGACATAGAGTGAAAAATATATCTGCTAATTCAATACTCTGAGCTTTGCTGTTGCTATCTGTTCAGTCAGCAAAGTGCTCTAAGGTACACCCCCTACTTACACCATAGCAATTTTTATTCTTTATGTAGTGGGATTCAGTTGTTACCACTTATGTTTAACACCTGTGTGGAAAGTTTATTTTTTGGTGGGGGCTGTATAAGATGAGATATGCAGTTTTTTGCATTGTCTATTCAATTCAAAGCAAAGCAGGAATCATTTACGCTAACTCAGACTTCGGATAATTGGTTTTCGTTGATGCAGAAGTAGGGATGTAAACAAATAGTCAACTATTCGATAAGCAAATGCTATCGGGTAGTCGACTAGTGACTTGACTAGTCACTTTCTCCCTCCCTTGCTGCCTCTATCAGAGAGAGGCAGCAAATGGGGGTTCAGGAGCCAGCTGGGGAGAACTGGTGGTGCTTCCACCTTTGAAATGTAGCAAGACTAGGGCTCTTGCTACATTTCAAAAGCAGAAGCACTGTGGGAGCATGGGGCCAGAGGGAGACTCAAGCACCCTTATCGACTAATCAAATAATCTATGCAAATGCATCGACTATTCGATTAGTTAATTAATCTACATCTAATATCCTCATGCAGAAGCCTACAGAAAATATATGTGAAAAGCAATTGAAAGTATTTTATACTCAATGAGCAGGTTGTGCAAGGAAATCCTGTAAGTTATTTTTTCCGAAGGAAAAGGTAATGAGAGTTAATTGAGTTTTGTTTTGGTCCTAGTTGGATGTTCATACAGTTGGACAAAAGAGGCCTGCTACTAAACAGTTAACAAAAGGAGCTTTGTAAGTTGTATTTTTTTATACATAGTTTTGTTACAGCTATTTCTACTAATCTTTGCCTGTTTTACACTGTCATTTTGTAAACTGTAAATATAGCCATTGTATATTAGAATAAATGTTAATTATTGATATTAGTCATTTTCCTTTTAGTATTCTACAACAGTTACAGAAGGACCAGGCACATGCTGTGACACCAGATAAAAGTCAATTCAGATCATTAAATGATGCAGTCCAGAGACTCCTTTCATATCATGTGTGTCAGGGATCACTGCCAACGAAGGAGGATTTAAGAAAAGGTAATTTATTTTTTAAATTTGGTATGATAAAAGTGGTGCTGCTGCTTATTAGAATATTTAAGCAGTTAAATATTACTTTGGTGCTGAAAAAAGGATTGTGTAAATCAGAGTGAGAAGAGAGAAAACTTTTGTGAGACTGTGCTAGGTATTGAAGAATATAATCTAAATATATTTTGTGTCTTTTTTTAGTGGACAGTGAATTTGAATCTGTAGCCACACAGCTTCTGAAAAGGACACAAGCTATGTTAAATAAGTACAGATGTTTGCTCATAGAAGATGCAATGGTAAGATTTATAAGCAAGAAAAGTATTTTTGTGAAATGTATGGATCAGTTAGGGCAAATTGGAATGAACTATTTAAACAGATTTAATGTTCCACAATAGAGTGATCTTAGAATTGTATTACTTCCCTCTGTATCCACAAATATTGTGTGGCTACCAGTGAGCAGCTGTAGGTATCTGCAGTGGATCTGAAGCTATCAGCTCATACTTTGGGGGCTAGCAGAGCCTGGTGTCATGCTTATGGAATGTGGGTAAAGAGGGTGAACAATGCCAGGGGAACTCAAGAAGAACTAATCCACTATGTGAAACAAAATACAGGACTATGTAGCACTTTAAAGACTAACAAGATGGTTTATTAGATGATGAGCTTTCGTGGGCCAGACCCACTTCCTCAGATCAAATAATGGAAGAAAATAGTCACAACCATATATACCAAAGGATACAAGAAAATTCTCCCATCACCCTAGCTACCATCTCTTGAGAGAGGTGTAATACCTACATCAAAAGTAAAGCCCCTCCCATCAGCAAACAGTGTCTTCACAACAGCCTTTTAAGTGTACACAACCCCTCAAGTGACATTAAAAAGGAGCACAGTCACTCCAGGACATACAAGAGGCTGCTGTAATGAAGTCTAATCTGACTTCAGTAGCTATTTGCAATCAAATGTGTCTGCTAGTTAATAATTTGCACAACTGCTGCGGAGAGTGTCGAATTTTAGCATGAATGCCAGTTCAGAGGATTCCCTTTCAAGTGCAGATTTGAATGTCTTCTGAAGTAGGATGCAGGTTAGCAGGTCATTCAGACAGTGTCCTTTCTGGTTGAAATGACAAGCACCTACCAAAGCAGCACCACACAAAAGTGCACTGAGGCACACCTCAGCACCAACTGAACAAACCCAGATGGACATTCAGTTGGCGCCACACTCACTGGGATCATCAGAGCCGTGCCTGACTCTCCAGAACAACCACAGTCAGAAGAGCAGGAGCCCATGTCTGAGGAGGATGACAGATCTCCCCTTCACAACTCATCTTCATCCCCTGCTGAAGCGATCATCCCTACAAGTACAACTCCTACAGATGACCTAAAGCAGTTGCAGGAGTTATTCAAACGTGTGGTCAATGCACAGGAAATAGCTCTCCAAGAGGTACAGGAAAAACAACAGAGGCTCCTCTGCATTTTACAATTGTCCACATCATATAAGGTAGCTCTCCCCATGGACGAAGCCATATTTGACTTGACTGACACTATTTGTCAGACACCAGCCTCAGTTATACTCACAAACCAAAGGGCAGATGGGAAATATTTTGTCCCTCCCAAGAGTATGGATTTTCTCTTCTCGCATCCGCCTCCAAATTCCTTGGTGGTGGATGCCATACATAACAGCACCAAATATCCGCAATTCCGGTTCAACCCCCAGGATAAGGACCATAAACATTTTAATATACTTGGCAGGAAGGTATATTCTTCGGCTACCTTGCAACTTTGGGTGGCTAATTATTCGGCATTCTGGGCCAATTTATGACCATACCAAACTACTCAAAGCTTCAGGATCTCATGTAGTTCCTCTTGGAGCAGAAACACCCCCAGCTTCAATCTGTAATGCAAGAGGGTCATGCTATTGCCTGCATGGCATTCCAGACAGCCCTGGACGTGGCAGACACTGTGGCACATAGCACTGCTACAGCAATTGTAATGTGCAGAGTCTCATGACTCCAAGCTACAGGTATACTGAGGCAGCTCCAATTGAAAGTAGAAGCCTTCTGTTCGACAAGTTCCATCTGTTTGCTAGAAAAACTGATGAGGTTTTGCACACTATGAAGGGCTCACATACCACCCTCAGAATGTTAGGGATGTATACTCCACCTAACAAGCATCAGAGATACAACTCATACTTAAGACCACAGAAGTCATGCAGTCACACAGACCGTATAATTTTAGACAAAGACAGAGACATCAAAAGCACAGACTGCAGTGTCAACGATAATCCATTACAAACCAACCTTCCACGCACACGCAGCAAATATGAAGGTTTGGTCGGGGTCTCAAGTAACATCTCCATTAGTTCATCTTCTACGCCACGGGTTCCCAAACGGGGAGCGTGAAGTAATTCTGGGGGGAGAGGTGTGAGCTGACCCAGCCTCCACCCACATCAAGTTTTGCTGCCCCAGTCAGTTCCTTTTTTTTTCCTCAACAAGTTTTATTGCTTTTTTTGGAGGGGGGGGGGGGCGGGGGGGGTGAGGGTTTTTCAAAAATCAAAAAGGGGGCATGATGCCAAAAAGTTTGGGAACCACTGTTCTACACCATCCAACCGTCAATTTACCCACCAGCTGTACTCCTTTTTCCAACGATGGACCAAGATAACATCCGACTGGTGGTTTCTAGAGATCATCAGTTTGGGTTATTCCTTACCATTCATGTCCATTCCCATTACTTACTCCCTGCCCCTCTTCAGGGACCCCTCTCACAAGAACTTGCTACAACTAGAAGTACAACATCTTCTACAAATCAGGGCCATAGAACCACTCCCTTTGGCCTATCAAGGAAGAGGATTCTATTCAAAATACTTCCTCATGCAGAAGAAGATATGGGATACTAGATCTTAAAAAACCTCAACAAGTAAATAACAAATTGAAGGTTCAAAATGGTCATGTTCGTAACCATCACCCCAGGATCGGACAGCAGAGATTAGTTCTCAGATCTCAACCTCCAAGATGCTTACTTTCACATAACCATTCATCCAGCATACAGACAATTCCTACACTTTAAAGTGGACGGCAACCATTACTAATACTGGATTCTCCCATTTGGCTTATCAACAGCTCCGAGAGTCTTCTCCAAAACTTTGGCAGTAGTGGCAGCACACCTCTGTTGTGCAGGAGTAATAATCTTTCCTGACTTAGATGAATCTGCCTTATCCAAGGCACATCCTACCACGATACCCAGGATATTGTCAACACAACCATCACTCTACTACTCAGCCTCAGATTCCATATTAACCATGAAAAACCCATGCAGACTCTTGAATTGATAGGAGCTTGAGTAGACTCTATCATAGCCAGAGCAACACTGCCTGAACACAGGTTTGAGTCACTCACCACCCTCATTAACACAGTACAGGCTTCATCAGCTGTAACAGTATGCAGGTGTTTCCAAATACGTTTATCTGCATTCTGTCCAAAGCTACCTGACAGTGCGATCCAGGAAGCGTTCCATAGCCTCCATGTCCAGTGGGGGATCACTTTCTGTCTCGACAGCACTAAGTCCTGGAGGATGTTTATAAGACTTTTCATCTCCTTCACCGAACATTCAAAAGCACAAGGTGTCTCCGCACAATGAATATCAAAATGGATCTTCTCCTGTGTCTATGCCTTCCATACCATCCATAACAAGCAGCCACCACTTGTTATCACACCCCCACCACCAAGGGGGTGGCATGAACCACAGCCTTCCTCCACAATGTCCCACAATGTCCCACTTGGGGACATGTGCAGGGCAGCAACCTGTTCCTCTGAACACACGTTCGCCAGACACAACGTGTTGACATCTTGTTTAATCCCAACATCAGTAGGGCATGTTGTCCTCTCCACTGTTTCTGGGTCTTGGCTCCAAAACCCACCTCCACAAAGCCGACACTGCTCTTCAAACACATAAAGTGGATCACCCACGGGGACAGCACTTGAAGAAGAAGAGAGAGTTACTTACCTTGGGGAGTAACAAGGGTTCTTTGAAATGTGTATCCTTGTGGGTGCTCCACTACCATCCCTCCTCCCATTCTTCAGAACCTCTTCGGGGTTATGTTCAAAGTAGAGAAGTAATGCAGGCGTGCATAATCAACTGACACTCATGGCATGAGGGGCACTACTGCTCATGTGTGGCCTGGCAGGGCACTGCTAAAAAAGGTCTTCGATCACTGGCACGAGGACAGGCCAGCATCTAAAGTGGAGCAACCACGGGAACACACATCTCAAAGAACCTTCGTTACTGCACAAGGTAACTCTTTCTAAAAGTACTATAGCACTTGACCTGCGATTTAAAAATCTGAAGTGCCTTCAAAATCTGAAAGGTTTCAAGTGTTGAGTATGCTTTCAGAAATCTTAAAAGACCAACACTCTGATGTAAAAATTACAGAACCTGAACCACTAAAAAAGAAAATCAGTCTTCTGCTGGTGGCATCCGACTCAGATCATGAAAATGAACATGTGTCAGTCTGCACTGCTTTGGATTATTATTGAGTAGAACTGTCATCAACATGGTCACATGTCCTCTGAAATGGTGGGTGAAGGGACATATGAATCTTTAGTGCATCTGGTACATAAATATCTTGCAATGCCAGCTATACCAGTGTCACGTGAATGCCTGTTCTCATTTTTAGATGACATTGTAAACCAGACGCAGGTAGAAATATCTCCTGCACATGTAACCAAAGAAGTAGGACTGAGTAGACTTGTAGATTCTAAAGTTTTACATTATTTTGTTTTTGAGTGTTGTTATGTAATAAAACTAAATTTCCAAGTTTCACTTTCACGAAAAAGAGATCACACAATAGTACTTGTATAAAATGACTTGCAATACTATTTCTTTTGTTTATTATTTTACAGTGTAATATTTGTAATAAATAATAATACAAAATGAGCACTGTACACTTTGTATTCAGTATTGTGATCGGAATCAATGTATTTGAAAACGTAGAAAAATATCCAAAAATATGCAAGAAATTTCAATCAGTAATCTCAGTGCAATTAAAACTGCAATTAATCACAATTAATTTTTAAAAATCACAATACGTTTTTGAGTTAATCGTGCATTAATTGCAATTAATCGAGCCATATATATCTTATATAATTTTAACTTTTTATTGTTATTTATCACTACATATACCCATTCATAAAAAGAACTGTTTGCTTTTTAATTTGCCAGTAATGTCAGTTTCCCAATAGTAAATTTAAGTTGATAAAATTTATGTTGTGGTTGAGAAAAAGAAATTAATGAAAATATGCACAGAGTTTGATCAAGTTCCTTCATGCTGTTTAAAGCGTCATGGTAATCCCAAACTTGTGATTTTACTCTGTTAGGCATTGTACAAATTCATAGACTGTCATTGCCCAAAAATACTAGTGGAATAAAAAAAAGAAAAAAAACCCTAAATTTTCATTTAAAATTAGGCCTGTCAATTGACCTGAGTTAACGCCTGTGATTAATTTTTTAATGCGTTAATCGCAGGCATTAATGCTGCACTGCCCCTTTGAAGTGCTGCTCCGGCACTATTATGGGATTGTTGTTTTTTTAATTTGAAACATATGAAGTGACTTCTAGGAATTTTCTTTTGTAGCGGATAAATCCCTCTGCAGAAATGGTTATGATTGACAGGATGTTTAATCAGGAAGAAAGGGCATCTCTGTCTCGGGATAAGCGTCTTGCACTAGTGGATCCAGGTGAGAAATGTTTTAGCTTCAGCACTGTGAAGTAGAAATGTATTTGTATAATCTTACAGGCATTAAAAATATTAGGTCCATACTGAGCTATTGATAATTAAGTGCAGTTCTATTTGAAATCATAGGATTCTGCTTCAGAATTAATGGTTCGTGGTGAAATCAGATTTTCAGTTGATGTGTTTTGCATCAAAATATGTTAATTTTTTTCTTAGGAAAAAATGGGCACACTGGCGGGAAACTATGCAAAAATGCTTTTTGCAACATTCATTTTTGCTATCATTTTTGCAATATCCTTTGGATGGGTTCTTTGAGTCTGCAGCTGGCCAGGTACTGCAATACTGCGAGAATGTGAATTCCCTCATTCACTTCTATGAAGTGTTACTTTTGGAGCCCAGTGACCACTTAAATTCTAGCATTCTTTACCAATTCACTATTGACTGACACAACCAGAAACATTCAACAGATGTACTTCTGTAGTATAGTTGCATCTTAATGTTCTGTTAATCTTAAAAGACATTAAAAAATGTAAAATACAAATATTTGGGCAGTCAAATATTCTATGAAATGGCATTCCTCAAGACACTATATTCAGATAGTTTCAGAGGGGTAGCCGTGTTAGTCTGTAACTGGAAAATCTTAAAAAACAATCAGTAGTCTTGCAGCCCCTTAGAGACTAACAAAATGTATATTGTATCATGAGCTTTTGTGGGCATAACCCACTTCTTCAGATGAAACTTCTTAAGTTCTCAGATAGTTAGGCTGCTTGAAAAAGCTTTGGTGTCTTAATTTACAAACCTTACTTAATGGAATAGGAGATGTAGGATATAGGTAAAATGTATATGATCCTGCCCACATCTCAGGATGCAGTAATTTGTGGGTTTATTATAAACTTAGTCCACTAGCAAAGATGTAATACTCAGGGCTCAACAAATGGTTGTTTCTACTTGCCCGTGATGAGTAGATTTCAGCTGGTCGCTCTGTGCGCCCTATTCATCGGCGCTGCACACATGCGCAGTGCCGCTCTGGTGCATGTGCAGTGTGCCTAGCAAGTAACTCTTGCCACAGTTTGTCAAGCCCTGGTAATACTTGTAACCTCCCATACCCAAGCTTGACCCCAGATGTACAGTGCCTTCCTTTCTAATTTTATTTGAAATGTTAGTTTTACTAAAATTCTTTTAAGAACATACTATTTATTTGTAGTGAAAGTAAAACATGAAAAAGACTGCTATAAGAACAAAACTTCAGGGAATATAGCATGGATTGAGAGATATCTTGGGTAATGGAAATACACAAGGAAAGATGCATGCATCTTACTATAATTATGGGGTCTCCTTTTTATTTGCTAAGCACTTTATATCATCCTGTTCAAAGTGGGCAGAGAACCCAGTAATTCTGTTTCAGGGAAGATTTCATGATTTTGAAATTTGATTTCATTCCAGTTCAGAAGGAAAACAAAAAATTTTGAAATTGCCTGTAAAACAGAATTACCCTTCTCTGCTCAGGTCTATTAGACGTTTTGGCAGAATGCCAGGAGCAGGGGATCCTGAAGACCATGACTGCCATAAAGCTATGAGCCTGGAACACATGACTTTAAAAAAATCTTCAATGTATTGAAGAGCATTTCTATTTGAACAAATTGGAAAATTTTGACAAAAAGGATTTTATTGATTTTTCACCCAACCATTTCTGAACCCTACTGAGAATTATACTCAAAATAGGAAGTTTGAATACAAGCTCATTTTCTGTAGAATTAATATGTACTATGAGAAGATATTTGTCATGGAAAACTGCATATCCCCCATTTACTCAGAAACTTTCAATAGGGACAGAAGAGCTTCAGAATCTTGAAACAGCCAGTACATATAAGGCTCAGAGCAATGTTAGAAATTGTCAAGGGGAAAGTCTGAGACTGTTCCAGATACTGAAACTTCCCCATCATACATAATTTGTCCAGCTTGTATCTGGCTTTATCTGAGAGTAGAGTGCGCTAAACTTTGCCCATGGTTAATTAGGTCAAAATTTCAAATATTAATCATTGAACCAGAAAAATATTTAACCATATGCCTATGATTCCATTAAAGTCACATGCTTAAATGCTGACTTGTAGAAGTCATTTTCCTAGAGTACTATCAACAGATGAATGGTCTATTTGCTGAGTTGAGTTCTGGTTTGCCACAAATGTTTTTGTGAAAGCCAAAAAAGACTTTCAGCGCTGAATAGGTTCTGTTATCCAGTAAATGTACAGTAAATACTAGAGCCATTTTCAAACAAAGGATGGCAATGTGAGCAAATAATTGTTTATTCACGGTCAGTAATGCTAGCACATTAGAACTTTTTATGTTTTACTATCTGATATTTCATATCACCATATTAATTTTTTTTTAAATTTTCAGATGGTTATCTGGCTGATTTTTGTTGTTCCGCTAAACAATTTGATGAAACTGCTGACGAAGCCCAGCCCAATGAAAGTGATCATCAGTGTAGTAAAACATTGACTTCTCACAGTCAAACTACCAAGACCCAAACAAGAGACCGATCAAAATCTAGCACAGCGGAGTCTACAAATCACGATAAACTTCATTTAGTGCCTAACAACGTTATGACACAAGAAGGAAAACTTTCTACTAAAAAACCAGAAAGCCTCACTAAAGCTTTAAAGTTTGAGAAGGCTAGCTGTTCTCCTGACAGTCAATACATGGCTGTCTATGAAGAGAAATTAGCTGGTAAAGGTCTTACCAAGACCAGTGAAAATTCTTCAAGTTCTGAAGAACTGTCAAAACCTTTGTCAAGAGCCAATCATGGTACACACAATAAAATGTCAAGGAATACAGTTGAATCTCACTCAGAAGGAATATGTAATAACTCCCTTCAAGACAAAACTCAGAGGACCTTTCCAAAGAATGAGATTTTACATCCTGACAATATGAAAGGCTCTGGTGAACCCCAACAGGAATTACTCCTGAGTAAGAGTTTAGAAACTACATTCAAAAACATTCTGGAACTGAAAAAAACTGGGAGACAGCCACAAAGTGAGGCCACTGGTAGTGGCTCTGTAGAATTAGACTTTTCAAACTTTTCACCAGTTGCTTCACAGGAAAACTGCCTGGAAAAATTTATTCCGGATCACAGTGAAGGTGTTGTAGAAACAGACTCTATTTTAGAAGCAGCTGTAAATAGTATCTTAGAGTGTTAATAGTTACAGTACTATGAACAAATTTTGTTTCTCGTATTAGAAGCAAATGTGAATGACACCGCAAGTACAGCCTGACATATGGCAAAGGTTAATCTTTCTAAACTAGATTCTGTTCTGTGTTTGAGAGCAATACTCATTGTGATTACAGTGAGATATACAGTAAAGTTAATCCTTGTTAGAATGCAGTCTGTTGGGGCCTACACATTTCAAGTATTATAATGACAGTGCTTATGGTAATTGTCTAACACTGCAACTTAATGAGATTGCAGTTCACCAGGCCCTACGTAATAAGGTAATATACTGACAATCACAGTCAAATGAAAGGACAGATTCAAGAAAACTTTAAAAGACAAATGGAAGCAACAATTTTCTCCCTTTCATAAATCACTAGATTTTAATTTTTTTTCCAAGAAAATTTAGTTGTTAAATACCCATTTTACCTTTATTCAGAAATGATTGTCTGATTCATTACTGAATCCAACTGCTCTAGGATTTCAAGTTGGAAGAATGTCATCAGTATATTTGTAGGGAATCATATTGGAAGTGCTTTTCTGTTGTCACTGAGCAGAAAGAACATGAGTATATCTGTAGTGAGTGAATTTAGTCTATGGAATGATACTGTATAATCTTAGTCACAACGGTATGATATGAAATAATGTATGACCGACTAAAGAAAGAACAACAGAAACCAATAAGTGGCAAGAGGTCATAATAGCACCATGAATTTTATATATATATAAATACAGATATGTTAACACTTGAGGAGAAGGATTTGCATTTTATAATTGAATTAGATCAAACTAAGTCTTTCTGAAGAGGTATAAATGTTTTTTAAAGAACAAGTGTCAAAAGCACTTTTATTTGAAAACAGATTAAATTAGTAGTTTGTACTTCAAGAGGACATTATCCTTAACCTGAGAAGTTTAAAGGCCAGTGTTTTTGCTTGTTTCTGCTTCTCGCTGCCAGAAAATATTAGTCATCCACAGCAGCAGTCATAACTACCAAAATATGTACAGACCAAAGTTAATCAGCTGTCCCATTATTAAAACATATCTAAACTTGTATAATTTTTAATTCACCTTTCAGAGCCAAAGGAAATCCTTGTGTGATTTGTATTTGGCTGGTGTTCACATTGATGAAATAGAAGTTTGTTATTTTATTTATTTATTTTTAATATCTGTCATTTTCCCTTTTAATGCCCCGTGCTTCTTTTCTAATGGCTTACTTTGGTCATTAGTACTGTTGTGCATACAGTCTTCTGCCATTAGCAAAATGAATCTAGCATACTCAGAAGAGTAGAGTGGTTGTGATTTCTAAAGCATGTTCTCTCTCTCTTTCCTTTTCCTCACAAAAATAAACAGCCACATTTCAGAACTTGTTGATTGCCATTATCATAATTTAGAGACTCATTGTGACAAACTGTGGTTGTCAGTCAGATTGCCAGAACTTCCAGGAAAGAAAACAAAAAGTCAAGTTTTGCTATCATTTACACACTGAGTTTGTACCCTCATAAAAGAGAGCAGAATTTGGCCCTTGAGAGCACAAAATTATAATGCACTTCATTGTGCTGAACTGCAGTCTACTATGTGATAACATAAGAAAACCAAATCTAGTAATGCAACCTGAGAAAGATAACAATATTTAATATATAATTAAGGTTCAGTTCCCCTTCAATGTGAATGGAAATATAAATATTTTGTACATTATTAATTGCCATTTAAAAAAATTGTGCCAATTTTAAAGTACAAATTTGTCAAAATCCAACATTCCCAAACGTCTCGTAAAACATTTAAAATAATAACACAATATTGCCAGTTTTAAATTTCTAGCTGGGCATCATTACAGTAGACTTGGCAGTTAGCTGTTTTCTAGTTAATGATACTGACAGTATAGTCTTTGCTGATTGCCTTTGAAATTTCGTAAAGATACTGATGGTGATTGTGAATCCTGAGGATTATGTATCTTATTGCTCATTCTGTTTCTGCCAGTATGAGCAGTCTAGAAAGGAACGCTGTAAATTATATCAGCCACATAAATTAGTTTAATTTTTATCTTATGAGAAAAAAGGCATGTTTATGGACCTTGTCACTTTTGGTATCCTCTCAATAGCATATAAGCTTTCAAGCATTTGTATAGCAAACATATAACCCAAATATCAGAAAGTTTTGTCCACTATGTAAATTTATTTTTTCTGGGCAGTAAATTACAGAGAGTGACAAATTAAGGTTAAGAAATGTTTTTTATGATTGCTGATTAGTTCAGACAAAAGTTTGTCCAAACATTTTATGTCAGGAATCCATTGAGCAAAGGCCAGCAAACTTACTGTTGGATCATTAGTGTTCTGTTATTTGTTAATTTGAATTGAATTTTAGGAATAATTGTACTTTGTATAATGAAATAAAATAATCTCATACATGAAATATTGGTTTTAAAAAGTATGAATTGGAATCTGATCCAGTCAAATATTTTTAACACGCATGATTTTAAGCACATGCTAAAATATTTTGCTGGATCAGCAAGATGATTTCCAATGTTCTTGAATACTACTGCCTAAAGTTGAAATAAATTTTGAAACTGGCAATTACAAAAATATTTTAACTTTGAAAAGTTTAGCATAATTTATCTGTTAGATTAGGGAGGCCTTACAGACTGACTTCACTTAAAGAGGATGTGTCACTTATTGTCAGTGTGGTATGGACTTTATTTGCTTAAATACCTTCATTTGTATAGTATGTCTCACTTGAAATTGCTTTGTATACATTTTGTAAAAATATTTATAAAATGTTTTGTAAAAAAAAGTATAACAAATTGCAGTTTATTTTGTTATGTTGGATAAATACTGTTAAAAGACACAAGTCAGTAAATATATTGTTAATCCATGGATAGGAAATGTTTAGTTGGAGATTACAGATTGAAACAACCATTGCAATACAGCCAAAGATTTGGGAAAAAAGAATATCTGTGATTGTCTTGATTTAACCAAGATGAGTGATAACATTTCCAAAAAAGGGGTTATTTTCAGTTTCAAGTAATATGGTTGCAGAACATTCTGACTTGCAGTTTTTTTTATAGTGCAACTGTATTAAGAAATAATCTGTTTAATAGCCCATCTTTTCATGCTGTGCATGTAATTTTTTAAAGAAATGCTAATAAGCCACGGGTCATGTGGAGCATAAAAACATCATTATTTTTAATCTTTTCTCTCAAAGTGCTCAAGTTGGCTATGCCTTGTATATTATCACAAAATTCCTTTCTTAAAGTGATATGGTGTCTGAAAGAAGGAACAATATGGTATTATGGACTAAATCATCTCTCCTCTGCCACGGTGTGCTGTACAGGTAGTGCTTTCTCCTCCTCTGGTAAATCTTCACACAATGGAGGCATAAACTTTTAGGACTAAGAAATTCAGGTGAGAAGAGTGCTAGTTGCCTTGGAGAGGGCATATCTTGGTGAAACATGAGTGATGCCATGTGTAGGGGTCAATTGCGGAAGAACTCTGTCCGTGTGAAGTACAGGGGTGGTGAGGCCTGCATTCCCTCCCTTTCCCATTCTCCCCCCTTTCCCTACTACTGATGAGCCAGAAGCAAGGCTCTAGGAACATACGCCATTGTAGCAACAACGAATTGTAGATAAGGGCAGGAACATAACAATCTTGTTTACCTAAATGTACTGATCATGTAAATAAAGACAAAGGACAAGCAGTACAACTGAGCCATACTGTAACAAGCAATGAGTAACCCCGGAAATTTCCAAACTGACACAAACAAGGTAGAGACACAGATTAAAGCTGCATCAGAGCACAGCAATTTGGACCTCACCGATGGACTTTGGGTACCGGTGCCTCGGAAGCTGAGACAGTCTCCCACTTCATCCACAGCTGAAATGGGTTCCCCAGCTACCAGAAGGGATGTAAGAAATGCTGCTTTTCCTGTCACGTTGTTCTTTTAATTAAGGGGCACAGCTGATAGCTGTCAGGAAATAAACTGCTTGTGTTTGACAGATACCTGGATAGCATGTCTTTGTACTTTGAGAACCCAGTGTCGGACCTGAGACTTAGTCTTGCCGGCAACATTTTGGCGCAGCAAGCAGGGTTCTCTTGGTAAAAATCGCTCAGCATGTGGAAGAAGGGGAAGCAGATGGGCGAGGGAGAGAGTAGGGTAGAGTGCCAAATTCTAGCCTGGCTGTGCACATCAGCCTGGGGTTCGGTTGCTCAATTCTGGTATGATGTAATGCCTGCCATGCGGTTTGAGGGGGAGTTAGCTGATGGGGTCAGTCCTGCTGGTATCCAAAAGGTACTGGAGGCATTGGAAGTGCGTAAGAAGGATAAGAGGGTGTGTCAGGCTGGATGGCTGTTCCTAAGTGCATACTGCAGTGTATGTGAAGAGGAGAAGGAATAAACTATGTTTTTAAAACAAGTATTGCAAAAGTTTAGGCATGGCCTATGGTCTGACAATACTTTAGCTTGTTTATATTATGCAGATCTTGAAAGCAAATTGGCAAATGTTTACAAACCCTTAATCTCACTCAAAAGATATTGCTTCAGTTTGGTTGTTATGAAAAACCATGTACTGAGGAGTATTTTAAGAAAAATTAGCTGACTGCAAAAATGAACATTTGGATTTTTACCTAAGTAAAGGAATCAGAAGGTCTGATAGCTAATCAAGGAGCCCATCCTTCTTACTAAATTAATAATGGACAAAACCTGTGTCCATGGAAAGTAGCCATTTAGCAGGAAAAGCAGAATCAGGTACAGACCATAAGAAGGAAATAAGCCTGTATAAAAGGGGTAAGAGGTTTGGGGCCCTGTGTGGGCATAGTAGAAAGAATAAGGAAAGCAGTAGTGCAGGCATTAGAAAGTTAAATTACTAGGAAATGAGGAAAGTTTTCATTTGAGGGATAATGCAAATGCTTAAGGGTATGAGAAGGTGTGAAGTTGACTTTGTGGGAGTGTGGAAGGAATTAAGTAATTGTAATGTATTAGAAGGAAATCTGCTATAATGGACTACTTGTTTTTGTGTGGCCTCTCTCTGAAGCAATGTGTAAATAATACAGGCAAAGAAACTACTAATTTAAGTAGTTGGCTATGGACACTATTGTTAAATTTGCTAAACGGGAAATAAGGGATTCTACTGGAATTTAACTGGTCAGATGCATAACAGGGAATGCATTGTAAATTTGTGAATCTGTTTGGTAGGTTTCAAACGAATTGGTTTTATTTTGTTTTGGATAATGCCCTCTCACTTAAAATTGCAAACTGACAAGACACTTTGTACCAGACTAGTGCTGCTTCTCTTGGGGCATTTAACCCTTAAGGTGGTTCTAAGAAAACAAACTTTTATGCTAACAAGCTACATAAAACCTGTAAAACACCTTATGTACTTCAAAGAGAAAGCCTTTTAGGCTTGCTGGAAAGGTAACTAGCAAACACCTTGTGCTAAGGAAAAGCACTATAGCAGTAAAGCCTCTCAGTTACTACCTATGAATACATTTGGAGCTTCACAACAGATAGATTATTAAAAACCTGGTTTGTAGTGTAAAAGGGAAATTGAGGCATACCATCTTTAACTTAATTGAGCAGTGAAGTACTTTACCCAAACCCTTAAAAGCTGGTTTAAAAAACAAAAGCATAAGTAATTATTGGGTAACAACAGGCTGATCAAGAAGTCAGCAAGAATACTTGTAACAGAAAGAAACATTTAAAAATAGGATGTGCCACCCCCATGAGGGTAGGAAAATGTTCTTTTGTCTTTCAGAACATCAGAAAGTGCTGGTACCAGCTGAAGAGCAACTGAAAAAAAAACTGTTTAGTCCAATCAAACAGCAATTCTAAAAAACTTAGTGGAAGGATAATAGTTTAGTAATTGTTTAAGCTAGGTGAATGCTAACAATGTTTCCAGAGGTAAACAAGAAAAGGAACTAAAGGGTAACCATGAGACCGTTCCTGCTGCAGCTCCTGCTACCCCTATGGAGCCTGACTGAGGGAGCAAGGAGTATACCATATGAAAAGGAGGACTGGGAGCGGGGTACCAACCCCCTTCCACCTGGTTTGCTTTGCTTTAATTGCCACACTAATGAAGTATTTAGCTTTTACAGAACTTACTAACTATGAAAGGGGCTTGGCCAGAGGTAACAATAAATCTGCAAGTGGAACATCAGAAAATTTTGATAGAATCATACACCAGTGCTCACAACAATAGGGAAACTAGGAACCTCACCATTGTAATAACAGCCGATTGCCCAGTTACTCTGGTGCCATGTGCCTGATGCCTTTAAAAGGTCTGAAGACAATCATGGAATTGCATGGGTTCCCCATTAATAATGAAAGACATTCTTAAGCC